CAAGCACCATTCTAGTAACTGGGGAAAGAGAAGTGATCAAAACAAAGCCTGTGGTCTTCCGGTTGCATTAGAGTGGGGGAATTAGACAATAAGCAAACAAATAAATGCTTTTAGTGCACTGTGATAATGTGCTGGAAAAGAAAAAAATTTTAAGAAAAATTAAGTAGAGTCAAGAAGGCTCTTTTAGATAGGGAATTAAGATGGCCTCTGAGGAGGATCGTTTGAGTTGGAATGAAAGGAGTTAACCAACCATAGATACAAATGAAAGAAAGAGCTTTGTTGATGATTTGTATTTAGAAATGAATTTATGTGACTTCTAATACTTATATTTATTTAAGCCAACAAATGTGTCAGTAACTGTAGTAGATACTGAGAATAAAAAAATTAATACAGTGCGTGCTCACAATCAAGTTTAGGGTAAAGTTATGATATAATATAATATGCTGGTTTGTTCAAGGGATGTGTGAATTGAGGTGGAGATAACATTATCAAAAGGAAAAGTAGGGTAGGAAGTATACATATGTATTCTAGATTGTGAATATTATTCTGGAAGTGTCCAGTGATCTCCTTCCAAGGACACATTTATGCTTCTCAGTGCTCTCAACTCCTTAGCCAGGTGCCAGCAATTTCTGTATAGCAGTACTTAATTCTTTGCTGACACTGGTTTATTATACTAACACTTGAACATGGATTTGGAGTTTTGAAGATTTGATTATAATTCCAACTGTCATTTCTAGGGGTGTGATCTTAAGCAAGTTACTCATAAGTTTCATTTCCTCAACTAAGAAATGGAGATAATCCCTGTCCCACATATGTTTGCAGGGATACATTTTGTATATAAAATAAAATTGGCTTCTAGAATGTAGCAGATGTTTTTTAATAGGTGAAATCATTTTAATTTATTTAACTTTACTTCTGAAGAATCAGACTAAGTGTTTATTTGGCTTTGAATACAGGAAGACAAGGTGTAATTTAATAATGGTTTGATGGCTGACTTTGATTAGGTCTTATTCTGCTGCAGCTAGTTCTTTTTCCTAAGTGTGAAGTACTGTACCCAATCCAGAAAAAATAGAATAATGCTCAACATGTAATGCTAAAAAGCTATATATCATACCATGTTGCATTTAACACAAAGTGAGGGAACTTGGGAGAAAATTTGTTTTAGTTGTTGCATTTTGTGTCCAGCACTGACTACAGGGCCTGACATATTGCAGGGTCGGTACTCCATGTCATGTTTAAATGAATGAGTACATTCTGTTTAGATGAGAAAGAAGTTTGAGTATAGATTCCATGAGGTACACTGATGCATTTTTGGTGGCTAAGATAGATGTCTAGGAAGTATTGGTAAAGGAGAACAATTTTGGTATTTTAGCAGTTGTCTTTGAAACCATCATACCAGATTAATTATAGGACTAGAACTTTTATAATAGACTGTATATTTTAAAAGAAATTTAGGCCAGCTGGTTTGAGTTAAAGTGATCACTTGTGCTGAATTAATCTAGAAGGGAAACAACTGAGAAAGAAATGAAAAAAGACATTATAATAGGTCATGGAGTTCAGAATTCACAGCTATTTTAAATTAGATTTGTAAGCCTTAAGCATTTGTACTTTAAAGGAAATACAATTTCATGTGGAGAAATGAATCATTCTCACCATAACTTCAATTCCTGTCTTTCCTTCTGCTCCAACTCAGCAAAACACTGAACCCTAGAGCGGTCTCATCATCTGCCGCCTTTTGTTCCTTGGAGGCATGGACTGTTGAGTGCTGTCAGGTTGACTGGAACACTGTCACAGCTGTGCCCCTCAGTCTGGCCTCCCTCTATGCCATTCCACTGTCATTGGAGTGATCTTTCTGTAATGAGTCTGATTGTCTTTGCCCCCTCCTTGAAATCCCTTCATGGCTTCCCAAAGTTTTCAGGATAAAAATCTAGATTTCTTAGTATGGAAAACTGATCTTTTAGAGACCTGGAGTCTTACCAGTCTCCTGCCTGATCTCCTGTCTCTTTTTCGTGTACTCCAGACAGATTAAATCATTAGCATGTCTCTGAATGTTTTATGTTCTTTTCATGTCACTGGACATATGATACTGCTTATTCCAGGTATGCTTTTCTTTCTTCTCAAGGTTATTAACTACAGATAATGTATAGTGCTCCCAAGTGTACTTCTAGAAAACTTTTACTTAGCATAATATATTTTGGGAGTCTACATGTTATATTTCTCACTAGACTGTGAGTTTTTCTGAGTACAGGAGATTTTCTTATCTCTTTAATTTCTAGAGCCTGTTAAACCTTACACACTATAGAAGCCTAGAAGTTTGGGATTTAGTTAATGTATGAAATGATGGAATGTATTAGGGGCTTAAAATATGCCGAGCTAAGCCCTGGCAATAGAAGAACATGGTCCCTGCCCTGTTTATCATCTTAGTTGTGTGGACAAACTGACATATAAAGCTATTAGAGATAAATAAAGTATAGCGTTAAGTGAGAACTTATATAGCATGATTTGAAAATTGGTATCAGGCAATCCCCTCAGGTCCCCTCCTGCTCTGGGAGCTTTTCTGTCCTCAATAAATCCTACTTTCTCAAAAAAAAAAGAAGAAGAAAGAAAGAAAATAGGTATCAAGAATTTCAAATCTTTTGACATTTAATATCTGCTGTTTACTCTGTTTTTCTCCTTAATAATATTATGCAACCATAAAGAAAGACAAACATAGGGACTTCGCAACAACTTGGGTGGATTCAGAGTCTATCATACTCAGCGATCTATCACAGAAACAAAGAACAGAGTACCACATGTTCTCACTCATAAGTGGACCCTGAACAATTACCATAATACTATAAGAAAGGGATTGGCAATAGTGGAATACTGCCAGGGTGGGGCACAACATCAGAAGGGTGCCTGATCTCAAACTAAGCAAAGTGTGAACCAAAGGGAGGCCCAAATTTTACCTGTACTATGACCACTTGGATACCTAATCCTGAATTGTACCCCACATCTTCAAAATAAAAATAAATAAACTAATTAAAAATAAATAAAATATTGCAGATATGCTGATCTTCTCAACAATCATATTAAGGAATTAATGTGGAACTAATTATGTCATCTTAAATAGGAGGAAACTGGGCTGCAAATAAAAGTGTGCACTTTTTATACAAAACAAAAAACAAAATAAACAAATTTACTACTAACATGCCTATGTCTCTTACTTATTTATCTTGTTATGTTCATAGTTCCTACTAGAAAGTAAGTTTTATGAGGATTTTGTCTCTTTTGTTCACTGTGGTATTCCAGTGCCTGACACACAGTGCTCAGTAGATATTTGTTGAATGGATGAAACGGAGTGCAGAGAAGTGATCACTAGGAGAAAGTATTTGTGAAAGACTTAATGGAGAAGTTACATATTGAAGTAGATGTTGAGAGAGAGTATTTTATTAGATTAGTTAATAAATGTTTATGAAATACATTTATTAGTGACCAATTTTATTTTTATATGACTTCAGGTAATATGTTGCTCCTAATTTTCTCTTAAAGCTTTATAATACTTGTGTGTACACATATATGTCACACATATAACTTTTAGGTGTATTTTACACTTTTATAGAGTTTTCTTTCCCTTCCATTTTCTTCCCTCCCAAGACTAAAATTAAAATTAGATTTTGAATCAAAACTTTTACAAATGTTAAATCACCAAAATATTTTTTTGGCTATAACTGGAACATGTTGGTAATATAGGTTTGAATTATTTTTTAGAAAACGAGTTATCTGTGAGCCTCATGTATTGGCTTCTCCAAATTTTTTTTTTTTTTAACCCACGTTGAGAGCAACCCTATCAGCCTGTGCTAAGCCCAATTTTTTTTTTTGTAAGCACAGAATTAGTTATCTTAGGCTCTTATAGCTATTTTAGACCTTAGTAAGTATCCTACTTGCTTTATTTTAACTAAAATATAAGGATAAATGATTTGTCCACAATTAACTGATAATAGTTAATTCATAATAGGGTCAGAATGATAAACTAGACTTTTTTAACCATTGGTGAGATAATCAAATTGTGGCTAAGCCTTCTCTTATGCTAACCCCATTAAATCTTAAGGACATATTATTTCTAGAAATATATGTGATTCTGATGATATTCTCAAAGGATATTACTTTTGTGACCTGGTAGAATAGAAGTAAGTTCCTGGAATTTGTCAATCCAGTCAGCCAGATTGGGTGTGAATGAAGCTTTGGCAGTACTTTTCCATTTTGGTATATAGGTTGTTTACTAGTTATGTCAACAGAAGGTAATTTTCATCAGTCTTATTTTAGGCCATTGAAAAATCTTACACGCTCTCTAACTTGTTAGTTTTGACAATGTAAATATGAGGATTCACACATGTTCCTTAGGAAGAGGTTTGACCAATAAATATGCATTAAGGAAAGCATGAGGCACAAGTTTTAAAAATTCAGTTAGTCTTTTCATTAGTTGATGTTGAACCTAAGAAATTGTATTTCAAAAAAAAAGTCATATGAGCAGACTCTTAGATTATCTTAAATAGAAAAATGAAAAAAAAAAAAGGTCATGTGAATAGTCTACATATCCTTTTCCATTTTTTGCTGATTTTTCCTAGGGCTTATATTTTAATTAAACTGGATTGTACAAAAATAGCACTACACTTTTTAGTTTGTTTTTTTTAATGGTGAGGAGATCATCTTTTTGGGGGAAGAATGATCAGTAATTATAATGGATTGGATGAGAAGAAATGGTTAAAGATGTAAAAGATTTTAGACAATCTGAAGTTAATGCTGGTATAACTTCTGTTTGTAGTTGCCTAATATCAGTTAAATTGGGTTATTTAGTCATTTTTGTTTATATATAATACTTTTGATGTGAAGAATATTGTGCTAGACATTTAAAAACCTCCTAGCTTAACTTATTCTGAAAGTTAATTTTGTTGGTTTTCTCTAACAATAACCTCTGTTTTGGTGTGGCAAGTTAGTAATTGCCCTCTGTTCTGTTTCAGATCCCTGCATATCACTGAGTCCACCGTGCTTTACAGAAGAGGATAGATTTAGTCTGGAAGCTCTTCAAACAATACACAAACAAATGGATGATGACAAAGATGGTGGGATTGAAGTAGATGAAAGTGATGAAGTAGGTGGAAAAACATTTTTCTGCTATTCTCTTACAACAGAATGACTGTTTCTAGCCTTGTTTTCTCTTTATTCCTCATATAGCTCAACTCCTTCATCTTCACCTTTTGTTTTTCTTTTTTGCATGTTAATTTTACCCTCTATATTTACATAGTTTTTCTGGTTCCCCCATTTGTGTTACAAGTCTTCCCAGTTTTATAAAAATTTTCAGTCTCATGTTCTTAGATTTTTCAAACATATTGCATTCTGACTGTATCAGTTATCTGTTTTGCTGCTTTACAAACTACCTCAAAATGTGGCGACTTAAAATGGTTCTGTGGGTTGACTGGGCTTAGCTGGGCAGTTTTTCTGTTTTCTTACATATGGACTGAAGTCACTATGGCAGTTGCATTCATTTGGGAGCTCTGCTAGGGCTATAATAGCTAAGATGGTGTCTTATTCGTCATGATTTCTTTAGGTGACCTCTCATCATTCAGAAGTCTAGCTAAAGCTTCATTACAGCATGGCAGTTGGCTTCCAAGTGGTAGTGTTCCAAGAAGGCAGGTTCCCATGTGGAAGTGCTTAACATGCCTGTGCTTGCCAGTGCTTGCTAATATCATATTAGCCAAAGTAAGCCATTTGGCTAAGCTCACATTCTATGTGGGAGAGGATTATGTAAGGATATAGATAACCAGCAGATGTGGTACATCAGAATCCACCAATTTAGTAATTTAGTGTATCTACTGTCTTTTGTTTGTAAACATTCCCATCTTCCATCTGGTCTGGTTTCACTCTTAGTTTCTCCATAAAAGTTGTTTTCTTTATTTGTCTGTGGTCTCATCTAACCAAATCCCCTGGTCATTTTTCAGGCTTCTTCAACCTTTTGTTGGACTTGTCAATTGTGAGATGGTTCTCTTTTAGCTTGTATAATACTAAATTACATTATTTTCTACATTATTATCTGATGTGATATAACAATGACTTTTGCCAATTAACATTGTTACCTAACAGTGACATTCTCTAAAGATAAGTTCTTGACTGGCTGTATAAAAGTTTACTTTGAGAATGCTTATCCTTTTTCAGGTTACTCCTGATTCCTCTGCCTCTAAAGCAGTACAGATCCCTGACCTACATACAATGCTTTCTGCCTGACATTTTAAGAAGCCTCTTACTTTAGCTTTAAACTTAGTATGTTTAAAAGAAAATCCCAACTCTCCTATTTTAAATCTCTTGTCATTCAGTGGCACTTCTGGACTTACTTCTCTTTAATTTCTGTTTCTCTAAAGTAGTAGCTGGCAGACTTTTTCTGTAAATGGTCAAGTTATGGGTTGAAATGTGTCTTCCAAAACATATGTTGAAGTCCTGACTCCTAGTATCTCAGAATGTGACCTTAGTTGGAAATAGAGTCATTGCAATAGTTAAGATGAGACTGTACTGGACCAGAGTGGGCCCTTAATCTAGTATGACTGGCATCCTTATAAGAGAGGAGAACACCATGTCAGGAAATAGGAGAGAAAGTGACCATGTGGCAATGGAGGCAGAGATTAGAGTTACCCAGCTGCAAATCAAGGAGTGCCAAGTGTTGCTGGTGACACCAGAAGCTAAGAGAATGGCATGGAACAAATTCTTCCCCTGGAGCCTTTGAGAAAGCATGGGGCTTCTGATACCTTGATTTTGAATGTTTGCCCTTCAGATCTGGGGGAAAATAAATTTCTGTTATTTTAAGTTACCCAAATTGTGGTACTTTGTTATGGCAGTTCCAGGAAATTAGTCCAGGTCCAGTAGTAAGTATTTTGGGTTTTGTGGGCCCTGTGCACTCTGTAAAAAAGCAGCCACAGACAATACATGAACTATGGTTATGGTTGTGTTCCAATAAAACTTTATTTGCAAAAACAGGCAGCAGGCCAGATTTGAACTTCATGCTGTAGTTTGCCAACCCTTGCTATAAATAAGCTTTTATATTCCTAACATTTATTCCCTTTTCTTTCTCCACAACCTTTTTTTTTTGCATTGGAGTCTCACTCTGTCACTCAAGCTGGAGTGCAGTAGCACGCTCACAGCCACCCCAGAGTCGACCTGCTGGGCTCAGGAGTTGCTTCTGCCTAAGCCTTACAAGTAGCTGCTCTACTACCTCTTATCTGCTCTAGTTGTTTGTTTATTCTGTTTTAATTGAGGTAGTTATTATCTTGTGTCTAGATTGCTGCCTCTAAATTTTTCCTTTCTAATCCATCATCATCACTTTCAGAGCGTTTTCCTTTATCCAAGAAACTTGCAATGATTTCTAATTGCTTATTAGATCAGATATTAAATCTTTAGTCTTATATTTAATGTCTCTTCATCATTTGATTTCTGCTTTTTATTGTGGTTAAGATCATTTTGGCTAGAGCTTAGTCTCACTAATACCAATATCATGGCTTTCAGTTGGAAGTTGACCAACTTATTTCATTTATTACTAGAACTACAGACTATATGATAATCCTATCTCACGTTACTTTCACCTTAAAAAATTTGAAGCATGTAATATATTCTGTTGGTCATAAGGAAAATGAGTGAGATTGAATTGATGGATTATCAAGAGTTTTACTATTACTGGAAAACCATGTAAACTAGTTGTCATTTATTGTGGGCCATTTTATTATAGTGAGTGGGTAATTATTCAACATTGTTATCCTTTTCCTTCCCTCTCTCTTTCACTTTTGATATACACACACAAAATCAAACTAGACTATTGCTTTTTATTTATAAGCTGAATTATTAGTGATGAATTTTTTTTTCTTAACCTCAAGATTGTCAAATTGTTGTTTTAGTTGTCAGTTTAGGTGCTTAAGAATTTAAGTGTTAAATATAAATGGAAACTAATATTTTCTCCCTCTCAAGTGGATTAGATTGTACATCCTTGTTAGGTTTGGGTAACCCAATTTGGAGACTGCACTAATGAATAGTAAAGCAAGATCATGTTATACATATAGACATCATTCCATTTCTTTTTCAAGAAAGCAAAGGCTTATTTATAGCAAGGGTTGGCAAACTACAGACACATTAGAGACACTACTAATGTTAGTATTTATTTTCTAAATTTCTACTCTCATTCTATATTGCTTTCTTTATCATATAGCACATCAGTTACTGACTTTCTTGTGTTGGCCACTCTGTTTTTCATGATTGAAATTAGTTCTGATACCCTGTAAGAAATGATAATGTAAGAATAGAGCAAAGTTTACTTATTTATACTAATTTAGAAAAAAAGAGAATGAATAGAGCAGAAAATTTAGATGTTTTGATAAGGGAAGATATGATTACACTCTGTATGTTCCTTTTTTTGAAAAACACTTTGAAAAACAATTTGCTGCTATGACTTTTTATTTGAGCTGCAAATTCTGTTAATTTAAAAATCTAATTTATATCTGAAGTGTTAGTGTCTAATTATTGATCCTAAGAGACCCTACAAGTAATGATTTTAGACACCTTTCAATAGAAGTCTGTGGAAGAAAGATTCTTATGTAGGTAGTGTCTGTCTTTTAAGGTATGCTCAGTATATTTTGATATTTAACTCACCAACCTGTGTTGAGCACCAACTACTCAATTATCATTTTGATTATCTCTTCTCTGTTCACCTACACTTAACTGCAGTTTAAACTATTCAAAATGATATGAGGGCTCTATACGTGTTTCAGAAGCAAGGTAGAAAAAATGTTGGGGTATTCTAATATTTTGCAGTTAGCCTAAAGAGTGAAGAAGGAGTTATAGAAGTGACTGAAAAGGGAGTTGGCATAATTCTGAAAAATTGCTCCAAGGCATAAATCAATATATGCTCCCTGAGCAAGTAGTATTAACTTCACATGAAAACTTGTTAGAAATTCAAATTCTTGAGTCCCACTCCAGTCCTACTGAATCAGCAGCTTAGAGGTGGGACTTAGCAATCTATGTTAACAGGTCCTCTGGGTGATTCTGATGTTGGATGAAGTTTGAGAATCACTGGACTAAACCTTCAGGGCACTGTTAGTAGTAGGAACCTGTTTATCTTGATTTCTACGAATCCACAATTTAGTTACAAATCTTATTTTCTAATGGTTGGATCTGTGAAAAAATGGTCCACGACTTATTCTTTGTATCTTAAATCTTACAGTTGCTTTTGCATTATATTTTTATAACAATTTTGATAATCTTAGGCACAGTATTTATATTTGGCTACTGTGATGCTCTTGCAGAAGGCATTGTTTTCTGCCCCTATACTTTGTGATTTTACTTTTGCCAAGTTCCACCTTAAAAATTTATTTGTACATTCTACAGGAGGTCATGGACATGCAATTACTATGAAGGAGCATTGTTTTTCCAGGGGAGAGGAGTATCCTTTGCTTTTGTTAAAACAAGATGGTTCTGTAACCTATGTGGTTAAGCACCATTGTGTATGTCATTGAGATAGATTCTAAGAAAATTTCTCATTATTTTATAGTTATACCTAGAATATTTCTTACTTACACTATGAAATTTCTACTCTGTCTCAGCATTTATTTAGTTGCATTCCCAGGCTCTTATGTCTTGATTTGACAGTTGTAGTGCCTATTTACTGGACTTCTTTGATCTCTTGCTTTTCTAATTCATTTACCAACACTGCTGAAAATGTCTTTTTTTTTGACATTTGATAAGAGCTGAGTCTTCCAGAGTGTTTCTAGTTATGTATCTGTTTATCCCTCAGATAATCCACCATAGAAACCAGAAAACTTTCTCTTACCCTTACCATGTCTTACTGTCCAGACTTTGCCACCTCTGTCCTGAATTCCGATTCATTATAGTAGTTCCCTCTTCTTGAGGCTGCCTTAGTCATAGGCCATTTGAGAAACACCATTGATAGTATACAGTTCAGTTACATGTGGATTAAGTGTAGGGGTTTGTGGTTAACTAGGAACTTAAATGCCATAACATAGTTTCTGTGGAAAGATGTACTTCAAATGGTAAATGCCTATTCTTAAATGCAACCTAGTTATAAACTGGGAATGAATACACTGTAGTATGAGATATGTC